TGAACGATCGCAGGATTGTTTAGCTTCTGTTGTTGCTGCTGTTTGATCAGTTTATCTCCTCCACCACAATCCCCTCTGCCATCTCTCTCACCTTCTCCAGCAGCACCGGATCGTACCTACAAAGCAAGACGCACAACACAAGCCCTACACGAGCCCTGAAACCACATGAATCAACAGCAATAACACCTTCAGTCAAGAGCTGAGGTCAGTTCAAAGTCAGGGGGAAAAAGTTTGGGAAGCTACCTGAAAAACTATATGCACAAGTGCACCTCGGACAAAAGCTGTTTTACATGCTCACACCAAATCTTGATTTGATTTAGTTAGCAGAAGTTAATTAATAAATAAAATCTATATATGACATTATTTTTGAAAGCATCCTCACTTTGCAGCATTTTTACACAAGTGCCTGCAGTACTGTAGCTTTGCAGGAGGTTTCTTCAAGCGTTTAGGAGACGCTGCCACAGTTCTTCTGGATCGAGGCTGTCTCAGTTTCTTCATGTAATCTCAGAAGGACCAGATGATGATCAGATCAGATCTCTGTGTGCAGCACTGGCTGCTGTCAGACTCCTCTCTCACTGCATTATTGCAATTAATGGCAAAAGCAATGTTTGGAAATGTGAACTGATATTTCCTACTGACACACTACAGCAAAAGAGAGAAATAACTGACTTAAAACCATTTTTTCTGCTGTTGGTGAAAATACTAGTGGCCTAAGACTTCTGCACAGCAGTGTAGCTCTTGTTTTTGTGAGTGTGTGTGAGTAAAATTGTGAAATATTATTACAAATTAAAATAACCATTTTCTGTTTGAATCTCTGCGAGCAGACAGAGTGGCATTCAATGCATTGGAGAATATGGCGAACATAAATAAAGAAACGAAGTTGCTTGTCAGATTTCCCTAACAAGCAACCATATTTTTTAAAATAAGCCCAAAAAACCGCGACCCGGGATTTTTTCACGCAACTTTACTAAAAAAAGTCTTTTTATTTTTTATTATTATTTTTTTTATTATGAATGCAAACATCACAAAGATGACATTAAAGATATACAACTTTGTATAGAGTACATAACATTTATCAGCAATATGTACAATGTCATCTGAACATACAGAACAAAAAAAACCAAAAAAAAAGAAAAATTGGAAGAAAGGAAAAAAACATCATGAGGGTAAGATATTAATTTATTTTTCAATTAAAGTATACAAATTAAAGTCATTACAAATTGAGGTTGTTCTTCTCGCTTTCTTATTTACAGAGGACGAAATAGTATTTTAAATTCTTTCAAAAAAACAAGAAACATTGGGTTGTTGTTGGTGAATTTACATTTATGGATATAGAATTTGCCAAGAAAATAAATTACATTTATAACAAAACAAGCTTTGTTTTTATTAGAATCAGAATCAAAGTGTCCAAAAATAATATCTTTAAAAGTAACCGATAAATCTGGTTGGATATTATCTTTAATAAAAGTTTCAATATCTTTCCATAGATGGCTCAGGGAAAGCAGTAGTTACAGTAGTAGATATATAAAGCATACGAGGTGCGTCCGAAATCGCGTACTGCTTAGTATGTACTACATTTGAATTTGAACGTACTACTCGACCGTTAAAAAAGTAACAATGATTAAACATCGTTTTACAGCCGATTCACAAAATCGTCTCATCGATTTACAATGTTTAAACTTTCAATAAGTCAGCCGTTCACTTAGATCATGTTAAACAAGTGCGATTTAACCACAATGAACAACGTTTTTCCCTGAGGTACTTACACTTGAAAAGAGCCGCGTCGCCGCCTTCCGCCATTTTCGAATATGACGCCTCCTCTCCCGTGGCCTCATGGGATAGTAAAGTGTCCACGGTATTCATGCTACGGAATTCGGGCGGAAGTAGTAGGTCATCCGGGTACTTCTCGCCTACTGTTTTTCGAATACTATGAATTCGGACATACTACTCGCCTCGCATACTGTTTTTCGCCTACTATATAGTATGGAAGAATGCGATTTCGGACGCAGATTCCTGTTATAATACGCGTATGACGTCACTCTTCTTCTTCCGCTCATGGCGGACGCACGTAAAGGCACACGGCGCCACCTAGCTTCACGAGCGCTACAGTACAAGCACGTGAGGCTGATCACGTGTCATCTGGATTACATAATCAGATTCCAAAATTAAGAATTAATTTTACATTTAAAATACTTGTAATCAGACTACAGTTACTTTTTTTACTGATTACATGATTGCATTTTTATTCACACAATTGCTGTTAATTCTTATTTAGCTACATGATTCAATGGCCACCGTAAACTGTTTGTTTCCCAACGTTCTTCGGAATATCCTCTTCTGTGTTTAACAGAAGAAAGAAACTCATTCAGGTTTTTAACAAGTGAAGAGTGAGTAACCGATGACAGAACTTTATTTTTTGCGTGCACAATCCCCCTAAGGTCCTGTTTTACATTTGTGTTTTCAGTCACAAGGATATTTTTTAGAAACATGCACACAACAACACTGTTCATCTATCTCTCACAGCCTTGTAGTTAATGTAATTAATGACACACACACACTCACTCACTCACTCACTCACTCACACACACTTAATTCATTCTGTGATAAAATCAGATGTATTCATGTGTTTGCATGTTGATTCATATGCATGTCACATGATTATAATTTGTGTGATAGTTTTACATTTCTTTGCCCCTTTCTTTTAATCTGCACGAGACACTGAAACAGATTGCTATTGCAAAATAATGGCATGTTTTTTATGACTTGGGGGAAAAATCACTATAAATCGGAACACAAATGTGCTTCAGCTGCAAGATTGTGGTCCTCAAGAGAAAGATTATTTACAACATCCATTATTATAGTCTAATATGAGTCATATATAGTTGAGGAGGCGGTTCTGACTGCTACATCACTCAAACGCTTCAAAGCAACAGGAGGCGGAGCTTCATGCTGAGTATACTTAGATTTATTATAAACCATCAGCATTCTCAATATGACAATATTGTTTAAATAGAGGCAGAAAGGAGTGGAAATTAAACAAGTGTGTTGAATAATATCCAACTATATATTACTTAAACCTCTTGAGCTTCATTGCTATTATAAATATCATGAATTATAATAATCTTATGTCAATATTAATAATATAACTGAGCAGCAAATCAGCATATTAGAATGATTTCTGAAGATCATGTGACACTGAAGACTGGAGCAATGATGCTGAAAATTCAGCTTTGCATCACAGGAATAAATTATATTTTCCTTTATATTCACATAGAAAACAGCTATTTTAGATTGTAATATTTCACAATATTGCTTTAAAAAAAAAAAAATGGAATAAGTGCAGCCTTGGTGAGCAGAAGAGACTTCTTTCATAAACATAAAAAACTAAATTATTCCAAATTGTGTGTGTGTGTATTATTAATTACAGTATGCAGTATTTGTTGATATTTATATTCCTGTTTTGTTCAGCATTTGATAATTTTTGATAATAAAATGTAAAATATTTTTATATTATATATTTTAATGTAAATTATTACTTATATTACTTAAAGCCCTTGATTTAGTTGATTGTTATTATAAATGGAATAAGTGCAGCCTTGGTGAGCAGAAGAGACTTCTTTCATAAACATAAAAAACTAAATTATTCCAAATTGTGTGTGTGTGTATTATTAATTACAGTATGCAGTATTTGTTGATATTTATATTCCTGTTTTGTTCAGCATTTGATAATTTTTTATAATAAAATGTAAAATATTTTTACATTATATATTTTAATGTAAATTATTATTTATATTACTTAAAGCCCTTGCTTTAGGTGATTGTTATTATAAATATAAATTATTCATGTAATTTATGTCAGTACAAATATATCATTTTGACTGAGGCTTCTTTTTAAATCTCTCCCTTATCCTCCTGAGAACCATAAAAAAAAGTTTTGTGATTTAAAAAAAAAAATGTCATTACATTGCTTGGAGCACAAGAGAAACAAATGGAGAAAAAAACATTCATATTTTATTCTATGTCCTTTGTAGAGGACGCCAGGACTAATTGAGTTATTAAAAAAGAAAAAAATAGACATGAAAAGGCATTTTTCATTCACCACTGTTGGCTGTTTTTAGCCAAACTTTATACAAAGATGATTCTCAACTATGTTATGAAAGATATAACAGAATTATTTGATATACTACTGTACTTTACGGAATATGTGTGCATAAAATGTCCATAACTTGATATACAATGTATCTATACACTGCATCTAATTTGCATATTAATGTGTTTTTGGGGCAAACCATAATGACAAAAGAAGTGTAACAACGGGAGTAATAACTTAGCTACTAGAATATCTAGTAACATTGATCTATAATTTATTGTTTTGTTTCCCCAAAATGCCAGATTAACATGATGTTTGTTAAAAATTACACCCAGTTTCGTAACAAAAAGTCATATTCTGATCTCTAACCCCATCACATTTTTCTGAGCTGTTTATTTACGACAAACAATTAGCCAGATTTAAACGATAATTACAAAACATTATACCACATTTCCCCAGGAGTGCCAAATCTGATCATTCTGTCAATATCAGTCATATTTAAAGACCGAGAGAAAGTGTGTTTATGATCAAAACCTGCTAAAAAGCCCTGAACAGGACACCTGCGGTCTCAGAGAAACTCACTCAGATATAATGTGAGGAGGATGAAACTCTGTCTGGGGTCCCATGAAGGACACACAGCTTCCCCATGAAGTGTTTGGAGGCATACAGGTGTGTGTGTAGTCTGGTGTTTCTGTGGTTTTGCTCTGGATGTGAAGTCAGTTCCCCAGAAGAGCCACAACACTGATTAGATCTGCTGTGTTTACAGTCAAATGTGATTGTTTACAATAAAGGCCACTTGACATTTATGAGTCCAGGTATGTTTTCATTCTTACAGGTAGCCTGTTGTGTCAGAATCACACCTGACGGTGTATAAACGTTCCCTCAAGAGAAACTAACTGTGTTTGTGTTCTTTAAACATTAATCCGAAGCTGTGAAGATGTCATATTTGTTGTGTCAGGCAGCATTTCCTCCTCCGTGTTTGCTCACGGCTCCCCCCATCGGACTCACTGTAAAATGCTCGATTATTTCAGCGAACCGCCCCGTTCACTCATTTGAGGAGAGACGCCGCTGACTTTCTTCTTCACGCTCGCTTCTTGATGGATATTTTCAAACTTGACAGGTAACGCCACGCGCTCTCGCCGCGTTTTCCTCCGCCGTCTGTGACGCTCGCCAGCGGCAGCGGGCTTTTCTGCGCTCGCTGCTAACGGAAATTTTTTGGTACGTCATTAATATGGCGCCAAAAGAGTTATAAGTGTGAGCTTATGTTGCTTCGGCTTGAGAGACGCCTCACCTCAGCCTGCGCTGTTCGCGACGCTAAATGTTAATCGCCTCATCAATCTTAGACGCTTGTAGCGCTTTTTTCGACGCGCAGTTAGCGCGCGTCAGTTTCTGAGGAAACGCTTTCTTCAAAAACACTTTTGGGGATGACGAACCCATAACCGTTGGCGTACTAAGTGTACAAACTGCAATTTTGGTGGAGTCGACGGACTGCGCGTCTGTGGATTGAATCCGCCGACTGTAACTTTTATTTCGGGCCGCCTGGCCTCAGATGATCCGCTGAATTCGCATCGAGGACAGACATCACGCCCTCTTGTGCGAACCGCAAATAAGGTAAAGCGAAAGAACGCGTGCCATCTTTTCCTCCACATCTCCACACTGATCTTCGAGCAACGTTAGGTCAGATGAGCGCCGTTCTATCAAGTTTGGCCGAATTCTGGCAAGTTCTACCGCCTCGTTTTTTGCAAACCTGTCTGTTTGCGACCTGTCCGTCATTACTGATCAACTCTTCTAGTTGTTTTGGGAGCTTTTACTCGGCTGTCTGTGCCAAAGTTACTCGGAAGTGCAGTTCGCTGAACCTGTTTAGACTCGAATCAGGGGTTTGTTTTCGTAACGTGCTAAGTTGTGAGCGCTGAATGGCCTAGCATGCTTCTGTGAACGGATTCACAAACACCCTGCGGGTCATCGGCCACGCCCCCTACAGTCCGCTGCTGCTTACGGCACACTGTGGCGTGACGTCGCGTAGAGTGGGCGTGGCTACGCGTGAGGGGCGGGGAAACATGTTTAATTATTTCATACCTCAGTCCAGTGTAAAATGCGTTCATCGGTGTTTTACTAGTCTGTTACTAATCTAGTTTACCGATCCAGGGGCTTGAATGCATGTGGTTAGCTGACATCAAATGTCATGCAGTGCTCTTTTTGACTCAACTGGTTCAACCGTAGATCATGGCATTGGATTACTTACAAATTGTAATCCGTTACTGATTCCAAATTACATGTAGTTACTTAGTAATGTAATCCATTACGTTACACATTTTAGGTAATATAATCGGACTGTTTGTTTGATCTCACTCGTTTATTACATTGATTTAAATAGGGTAGTCTTGTACCGTATTATTGATATAAAAATACAAAGAAAAAGAAAATATATTCCATTCGTTGTTATTAATAACATGAAGTGTGTTAAACATTACGTTACGTCAAGTTTGTCCAAACAGGTTTGTGAGTTTAATGAAAATCTAATAGTTAAATAATAAAAATGTAAAATTAAAATAAATAATTTAAAAATAACATTCAAGATAAAACACTTAATAAAAAAGATGAGATATTATATTTGTTTGCCTGCATGTCATGTGACCATTAACACTAGATCCGCCACGGGGTAAAATTTACCCATGGCTGTTTTTCAAATGTACGTAATAGGGGTGCGACGATAAATCGATTCGATTTTCCGAATGCATCGCGATTCTCTCTGGAATCGATTCTGAGCTTAGTTTTTAACAGCAGATGGCGCGCTAGGCTAGTAATTCGCTTCAACCTTTTCAAACTTTATGAATTATTATTTTAGTTTCAAGTGGTGTGTGTGTAAGGAACTGAAAGCAAGCAGAGTACGGCTGTTTCTAAAGCATGCAGCGCCATCTGCTGTTAAAAACTAAGCTCAGAATCGATTCCAGAGAGAATCGCGATGCATTCGCGAAAACCACAGAATCGTTCCACGAAACGATTTATCATCGCACCCCTAGTACGTAACAGATTTTCAGTAATATATCCAAGACTCTCAGTCATTGACTTTTACTAAAATTGTGTTATTTACAATCCCCCGTTGTTAAAAATTGTTTCGATAAAACACTTTAACCAACTGCCAGGGGTCGTTGTATACCTAAAAATTTACCATGCACATGACTACTGTTTTGATATGGCTAAAAAACGTATTATGTCACTGTATTATCTTCACAAAGTAATGTCTAGAGTCATGAAATTATTATTTTAGTCATCAACTATGTTTTGTTATTTTATGTTCAATAGACAATATATGAGCAATAATAATTCACCGCACTGCATAGGATGTATGATGCAAGCGCACAGTTTCATCTAATTAATTATTAATTTGTTTAGTTATATAATTTATAATTTGAATAAGAGAACAACACCAATAAGCTTGGGCTAATCATAAAAATTGTTTTATTCATTACATCATAGATGTTTTTTCAGGAAGTTGCTAACAATAAATTAACAAAAATTTATAATTAATCCGAAGTTTGAACATTTATGAGTAGGGTTGCAAAGGGGTGGAAAATTTCCGGTAACTTTCCAAAAATCCCTGGAATATTCCAAAAAATCCTGGAAAGTTTCCAAAATTTACTGGAAAATTTCCACCTTTTTGAAACCGTATTTATGAGAAGGCTAAAATAAACTTTGGATTAATTATTAATTTGTGTTTAGCAATTTTTTATCTTTTATTGTTCGCTACTGTGTTGCTATTTATTCTAGTCTGCCCGTTTCCTGTAAAAAACAAAACAAAAATAAATTTCCGATCTGGTGAATTATTATTGCTCACTATTGCGTTTGTTTTCGTAACGTGCTAAGTTGTGAGCGCTGAATGGCCTAGCATGCTTCTGTGAACGGATTCACAAACACCCTGCGGGTCATCGGCCACGCCCCCTACAGTCCGCTGCTGCTTACGGCACACTGTGGCGTGACGTCGCGTAGAGTGGGCGTGGCTACGCGTGAGGGGCGGGGAAACATGTTTAATTATTTCATACCTCAGTCCAGTGTAAAATGCGTTCATCGGTGTTTTACTAGTCTGTTACTAATCTAGTTTACCGATCCAGGGGCTTGAATGCATGTGGTTAGCTGACATCAAATGTCATGCAGTGCTCTTTTTGACTCAACTGGTTCAACCGTAGATCATGGCATTGGATTACTTACAAATTGTAATCCGTTACTGATTCCAAATTACATGTAGTTACTTAGTAATGTAATCCATTACGTTACACATTTTAGGTAATATAATCGGACTGTTTGTTTGATCTCACTCGTTTATTACATTGATTTAAATAGGGTAGTCTTGTACCGTATTATTGATATAAAAATACAAAGAAAAAGAAAATATATTCCATTCGTTGTTATTAATAACATGAAGTGTGTTAAACATTACGTTACGTCAAGTTTGTCCAAACAGGTTTGTGAGTTTAATGAAAATCTAATAGTTAAATAATAAAAATGTAAAATTAAAATAAATAATTTAAAAATAACATTCAAGATAAAACACTTAATAAAAAAGATGAGATATTATATTTGTTTGCCTGCATGTCATGTGACCATTAACACTAGATCCGCCACGGGGTAAAATTTACCCATGGCTGTTTTTCAAATGTACGTAATAGGGGTGCGACGATAAATCGATTCGATTTTCCGAATGCATCGCGATTCTCTCTGGAATCGATTCTGAGCTTAGTTTTTAACAGCAGATGGCGCGCTAGGCTAGTAATTCGCTTCAACCTTTTCAAACTTTATGAATTATTATTTTAGTTTCAAGTGGTGTGTGTGTAAGGAACTGAAAGCAAGCAGAGTACGGCTGTTTCTAAAGCATGCAGCGCCATCTGCTGTTAAAAACTAAGCTCAGAATCGATTCCAGAGAGAATCGCGATGCATTCGCGAAAACCACAGAATCGTTCCACGAAACGATTTATCATCGCACCCCTAGTACGTAACAGATTTTCAGTAATATATCCAAGACTCTCAGTCATTGACTTTTACTAAAATTGTGTTATTTACAATCCCCCGTTGTTAAAAATTGTTTCGATAAAACACTTTAACCAACTGCCAGGGGTCGTTGTATACCTAAAAATTTACCATGCACATGACTACTGTTTTGATATGGCTAAAAAACGTATTATGTCACTGTATTATCTTCACAAAGTAATGTCTAGAGTCATGAAATTATTATTTTAGTCATCAACTATGTTTTGTTATTTTATGTTCAATAGACAATATATGAGCAATAATAATTCACCGCACTGCATAGGATGTATGATGCAAGCGCACAGTTTCATCTAATTAATTATTAATTTGTTTAGTTATATAATTTATAATTTGAATAAGAGAACAACACCAATAAGCTTGGGCTAATCATAAAAATTGTTTTATTCATTACATCATAGATGTTTTTTCAGGAAGTTGCTAACAATAAATTAACAAAAATTTATAATTAATCCGAAGTTTGAACATTTATGAGTAGGGTTGCAAAGGGGTGGAAAATTTCCGGTAACTTTCCAAAAATCCCTGGAATATTCCAAAAAATCCTGGAAAGTTTCCAAAATTTACTGGAAAATTTCCACCTTTTTGAAACCGTATTTATGAGAAGGCTAAAATAAACTTTGGATTAATTATTAATTTGTGTTTAGCAATTTTTTATCTTTTATTGTTCGCTACTGTGTTGCTATTTATTCTAGTCTGCCCGTTTCCTGTAAAAAACAAAACAAAAATAAATTTCCGATCTGGTGAATTATTATTGCTCACTATTGCCTATCTAGGGTATTTTAGTAATTTAAATAACATTTATTTAAATTATCTTAAGTGATTAATGACATTTTATTATAATATTACACCAACCAAATATGTATTTATTTATTTATAATTCTCGTTGTCATTGCAGGCTGGTTTAGCCTTTTCACCATTAAGAAAACTGACTAGTGTAGCCTGCTTAAAATAGACTTGAACATAAAACAACAGGTCAAAAACATAGTTGATGACTAAAAATAATAATTTCATGACTCTAGAAGTCTAGATATTACTTTGTGAAGACAGTGACATAATATGTTTTTTAGCCACATCAAAACA